AAAACAATACTTATATAAGTTATATATACTTATATTGAAAACCATGCATATATAAGATAAATGCAAGTCAACATAAGTCAAGGAAGTAAATCAAAAAGCATGAATGATACCCCACTAAGGGGTTTTCGGTTTTAAGAATCTAAGAACAAAGAGATTTCGGTCATGATCCCATACCAAAAACCGAAATCTCTTCATGGGGAATGCCAAAACGAAATCCCCATCATGTTTACCCCTTGGACCGAAATCTCTTCATGGAGGAAAGTTAGTACCAAAATCTCAAAGATGCCTACCACTATGACCGAAATCAACTATCCCAAGTGAAGTATATGGCCGAAATCTACTTTCTTATGGCCGAAATCCTCTTGAATATCTAGATATTTTACTTGATTTAACTTCCCAATGTGATAATTCCATTTACCAACGTAAACATCACCTCAACCGCCTATCTTTCCCTTCCTATGTAAGATACAAAATGGGATCATTTAACACTTCCAGTAAACACTTTTCACTTCATATGCTCTCAAATATCAAAGCCTCATTTTCCTTTCAATTCAAAGAACAAGTTTACCCAGAAAGCTTTTGATTCTTCAACATAATCCCTTAGGGATTATAGTAAGTATTTTCTTCATTTACCTTGTGTATACATCATATTATTAATAAGTTTAACTAACACACACCACAAATCGTGTGTTAATATGCTCTTAGGATACAATCACTATCCCGTATTCTAGCCCGAAGTTACCATTTCTATCTTGTTAACTAACCGCGACTATATATAGGGTGAATTCATACCCCTACGTTTTCACGATTTTCCATTGTTTTAGGGGGGGGGGGGGAATACAAGTAAAACACAAGAAATCTTGTGTTAATATTGAAATTATTTCAATAGTTTCAATCGTTGTCGTTATTTAAAAACATATTATATATATATATATATATATATATATATATATATATATATAATTATATAATTAAGATTCAACAGGCTTAGAATTGGTGATTTTGCTTTATTTCCTGTTCCTTGTTTGGTTGTGGGCTTAGGGTAGAATCATTTATTCGGCTACCTTTTTAATCGTAATTATATAAGTATTATATATATAAGTATAAAACTATTTAAACATGTTAACCAAAAAGAATATTTTTACAAGTTATTTTATTGCCATTTGGACATAAATGTTAAATTTCACGGAATATCTTTATCACGGAAATTACGATTTCAAACTTGCAAACTCGTTAATAACACAAAGGTTTTCAATTCAATAGGAACAAAACATATAAACTATAATAGCTATAGTTTATGGAACGTGTGTACTATTTTATCAAGTTCAGATTACAATTCAATAGAAACAAACATATATACTATAATGGGTATAGTTTATGAATCATACATACAGTTTATTCATTTCAAAGTGCCTTTTCATTATTCTACACGTAACCGACAATATAGCTTTGTGAGACATACTTCACGTACTTATCCAAGTACCAACGAAAGCCCTGAAATTATAATCAGAGTCTCCTGGACGGAGAGTGTGACACTTGTGTATAGATCTATACGAGACTGACAATCCCGCACCTAAACTGTTAGTTACAGTTAGGCCGGCAGGCCTGGGTGACAATTGTCGTGTCATTTCCGACGCCTGAAGAACGTCGTATTTAGGCCATCTTAGGTCATCAAGCATGGTTATAATAACTCACAATTTGGTATTGAACAATACGATTAGTGTACGAATACGTAAACAACTTCACATAGTTTTATTAAATAATATAACTACAATACAGTATTTTACAATACAGCTGGTGAATCCAGGCACTTACATTTACAAAGTTTTCATACAAGTATAAATACATAATATTATTTCCAGCACAGAGAAAACATACATTTTATGGTTTTATTTGAATTAAAACTAAGTTATACTATTTCAGAGTACAACAACACTTAAACATTTTTTAATCTCAAGATACCGAGACTACAATTCATTAAAAACAGAAAATATTGGATTTTCTGGAAGAAAACACATACATTTTCAAGGAACAAATGACAAATTTCAAATACAAACATGCTTATGAACTCACCAACTTCATTGTTGACACTCTTTTCAAAAATACTTGTATTCTCAGGGAATCAATAAATAGGTATCCACAGGTTTTGAGAAGACGGAGCTTCATAGAGTCACGTCTTTTAATTTTTGCTATACATTTTGGTGTCAAGTAAACATTGATTTGAACACAGATGTAAAACTATACATTATCAATATCATGGTTCTTGTACTTTGATTACTATTATGCAATTGTTGTGATATTGTACACGGCGTCATCCGCCCCCGAACGTTTCCGTCGTTCTGGTTTGGGGGTGTGACAAGTTTCGTCAGACTTTTGATCAAAAAATCAAAATTCAGACAGAAGTGACGTTGGCAAAAAAGGAATGAGATCAACATCTCCAGAATATAATTCTTTTAATCTTTTCCATATCTTATGTGTATATTTAAGAGAACTAACAAGAAGAAAAGTATCAGGTGGAAGAGCAACCTTATGATTCTCAAAGCTTTCAAGTTGCTGAGCAATTTGTCTTTCTCCACAATATCAATTTGCTTATCTTCAGCAATGATAGTTTCATAATCATCTTGAGTTAAAACTTTCTCCTTCGTCTTGGAATACTTGTGCGTTCCACTTGTAATTTCTTGCCAAATGCTAGATCTATAAGTTTCAATTCCTAGAACATAATCTTTAAAGTGAAGAGCCCAAAAAACTTCATAGTCTTCAGGAAATAGAACAGGAATTATCGATGTGGAACCGATACTTCTTGGAAGGTTAAATATGGCGGGGTGTGAATCATCTTTTGAAATTTTGATAGAAATTTGATGTGAATCAAATCAATGAACTTTAAAAGGAGTAGATTAAACAACTCAAACAAGGAATTAAAGATCAAAATGCAAAGCGATTTGCAAAATGCAGAATAGATCTGGAATTCGATGAACATGTCTGGAAAAAAAAACACAATGAACATGATGAATAGATCTGGAAAAGTTCAAATGATCTCCCGCTCTTATACCAATTGAAGGAACATTTAGATTCATAATTCAATCAAAGATAAGATTCACAAGAACACACGAGTAAGTCAAAACAATTCGATACAGCGTAAGGAACTATTCTATCTGCCAAACTCTTACCCGTTCTTCTATCTAATAATCCTATATATAGGCATCGCAAGAATAAAAGAAAGGCATCTCAAGTCAACAACAAGGCTGTGAACTTAAGGAAACAAAAAGTGCGATATTGCAACTTAACTCACACAAAGTAAAGATATTAGGAACAGAACATTACAAGTTGACACAACTTAAACTACGAACTCTAAAATATCACACAACTACAAACCGAAATTGAAATCTTCAAACAAAATCGATAACATTTTTTGGCTCTAGTGCCACATATGATGCATGTACCGGGGGTGGGGGTAACTTACTTTTGGGTTTCTATGATTTTATTAACGCGTCGGATAATAAGAACAACGATAAAAAATGATAAAAAATGATATTTTAATACACAAGAAAACAAGAAAAGATACATGTGATAAACAATCTAGACCTATAGATTGAGTATTGATGAAAACAAATCAAGACCTATTGATTTTAGTGTATAAAAAACTAGAACACGCGTCCTAGAATTACAAAGGGGTGAGTAAGCAACTCAAAGAACAAAGTTCTCAAAATTCAAATAATTCAACAATCTATACCATAATGTTCAATGATGGGGCTATTCATAGCCTTACAAATGCTTACAAAAAGGAAAGTATCAAATAAAAAGAAACTACCTATTAAATGCTAAAAATATAATAAAATAAATTAATTTCTAAAATAAAGTAGAATCTGGAATATTCGATCTAGAATCTTCTTTTGCAAGTTATCTAGAATTCCCATTGAAGCATAGATCCTAGAAAGCGACTTTCGCATCGGATCACAGCATGCTTCTGATTTTCGCAACTGGCTTCTGAGATTTTCATCTGGCTTCCAAGAATCGCAATCGCAATCGTATTTGTTCTCAAGTCGTTCTCATCCAGTAGTTTCTTTTGCACTCTAGCTTTTGCACCAAGCCCAACAACAAATAACCCATCGAACCTAACACCAACTAACAGCCCATTGAATTGCATTCCAAGAGTCCGATTCGAATTAGATCGCATCGCCACTTATCACAAGAGGTTCGCATCTGTTCATTATAGATGACAATTCATTGCGATTGTTCGCATCGGTTCGCATGCAGTCGCAAGTTGGGCCCCTTTCGCACTCAACATCCCATTCGCAATCAATATACTTTTCACAATCAAGACCCGACCTGACATGGAACTTAGGACTTGGCTCAATTCGGACTTGAAGTTCATCTCAGACTGTGAACTCAGATTTGACATGGAACTTACGACATATCAGTCTTGATACAATCTTTCGGGGACTAAACATCAGTCTTTGATACTATCTCATTTAGTCTTTGATACTATCTTTCAGGGACTAACATTTATTATCTAAGGGTGTTTGTTTTAACTTTTAAAATGACTTTTACCTTTATCTTTTAGAAAAAGTCAAAAAGATGTTTGTTTAAGTGAAAAGGACCTTTGGAAATGATTTTTCCAATAGAGTAAATTAAGTCTTTTTGAAAAGTCACGATCATGTGACTTTTCCCAACTTTTCAACAGTAAAAATATTAAATTACCAATATACCCCCATCTATCCTAATCAACTCTTCATTCACAGCATATGATTCCCTACTCTCTCCTAAAAGTTAACCCAAACACTTTAACTTTTGACTTTTTCCCTTCAAAAACTAATCCAAACACATTTTAAAAAACAACTTTTGTAAAAAGTCCTTTTACAAAAAAGACTTTTGCCCCACAAAAGCTAAGTCAAACACCCAATTTTCGGTAGTAAACATAGTTGAAAATGGAATAGATTTTAGTCCCCATATCAATTTTATAACTAACAACATATACATATAAATTAATTTAGATGCACAAATTAAAAACCTAGTAATAAATCAATTAAAAATATCCAAATATCTTCAAATCTAAACATTGAAATAATAAACTAACAATCAAATCACTAAAAAATAAAGCAGATGTGAGAATACCAAACTTTAAAAAAAGGTCATGAATAAGAATAGGGTTCTCATAGATGCATTATGTCCTCATGTATAGTTTGCTCATCTTCATCACTAGGGCATACTACATCTTTAAAGTTTGGGAACTTTGAGGTCATAAATTTTGAAATTTTTGCAATTTTTTCTTCACTTTGCTTCAATTTCTCATTGTTGTATCGCAACTTTTCCTCAAGTGCAACAACATGACTTTTCATATCTTCTTGATCTTTTAGAGCTGACTGAGATGTTTCGGTTGCTGATAAGATTGGTACGTCTTTTTTCCTCATAACAGGTCCACTTGATGCCTCTCATACAGACAGTAAAGTTTTATGCTTCCTACAAATACTTTTAAAAGCCTTTTTCTCCAAGTTACGTTACATATTAGATAATGAACAATTTTTTCCTCCTTTTATCTTCCATTAATCTTTCAATGTATTTCGTGTACGTTTCCATTGTCGTCTCAATTGCTCATCCACATATTCCATCATAATTCTATCTTCCTGTGGTAGTTCAAAATTTTCCTGCATTGAATACATATATTATTATTACACGCTGCTGTGAATGGGGAAAAGATTTTATAAATAAGAAAAATTAACATAAAACTTACACGTAATCTATCAATCATTTCTTCTTTATTTTCTTTTGGGATTTTCTCCCATGTATGGTATTTCATCCCACAACAACTTCGCACAATTCCAACCTTTGTTAAAAATGAAATCATTGTTTCCCCAATGAATTTCTTTGTATAGGTATCTATTGTCAATGTCATTCGAGCAGCCGATTGTTGATCTTTTAGAGACTGTACGGTGTTCAAAGCCTTCAGATTAAGATTATGACCTCTTCTTTGTCGTTGATCTACATAATCGATAATGTAAATTGTAGTATGCATAATCTAAAATGTTACTATATTAAATCACATTAATGGTCCCTGATAGGTGTGAACATAAATATTAAAGTAAATCACATGTGTTTGGAAAATGTGGCTTATACATTGTTGACTTTAAGTGACTAAAAGCTTTATTATATTTTACCTACAAATTTCCCTCATAAAAAGTTTCATCGAACAAGTTTGACAGTAAAACAAAAAAATTTACTCTGTGATGTGATGGTAAAACGTGTAATCTGTAACTTATAAAAGGATTAGAAGTCAGAAGATGTTTGATGTTAACAAAACATCAACAAATTTGAAAAATAGTAAATCTGTTCCTAATCATCATCTGACTCATATTCATTGTCAACGTATTGGGTCAGTTTTATTGTATTGTTATCATCTGATTCATCTTCGGTTGAGTCATCATGTAATTCTTTAGTATTTTGATTAGTGACATGAGTATGATCATCGATATAATCATCTAACTCAACTTCAAAACTCTCAACATCAACACATTCCATATTTTTTTTTTTTGCATCTTCTCCATCAATGCATCTGCAACATCTTCTCCATGAAACTCAATATTTTTAAAATCAGGAACTTCAGACGAAATTGTGTGGTGGTGTTTCACCATGTACACACTAAAGAACTAACCAACCAAACCAAAATGCAAACTAACAGCAAGAAGTGAAAATGGTCAACATAATTAAAAACACTCCCACCAATAGCGTTGAGAGTATAAAGCGCTATAGCAAATAAAGATAAGAAAAAAAATCTAGGGACAATTCCACGCAAAATTCTTCAAAATTGTACCACACAAGAAAAAACCATGCAGGGGCATAATGGTCAAGGTATTGAAAACAAGCTCTCATCAATAGAATTGAATTCAACAACAATCAGAATCAAAGGTACAAACATCATGAACGTAACCGGCAGGAAGAATGAACCAAAACAGAAGCATACCATATAAAGCCACATGTAACGCCATCTAGGGGTAAAATGGTCCAAACATTGAAAAAAAAACTCTCAATAGCAGACTTGAGATCACACAGCCGCAGACTTGAAGTCAAATATCAAGGGATACTACTAGCATGAAATTGAATGTTGTAATCAAGTTTTAATCTAAAACCTAAAGAATTCGTACAAACTGAAGTTGGGAGAGGAGAAAATGCAATCTATCATCTATAGTATGGGACGAAATCAATAGCGATAAGAAAAAGAGAAAGGACACAGAAGAAACAAATACCTAGTTTGCTCAAGCGATTATAGTATAAAGAGTAGGAGGGAGATGAAAGCGACCTCAGGAGGAGATAATATGCCAACGGCCAGGGGCGATTATGCAGCGACCAAGGGCGATTACGCAGAGCAGGTGGGAGGAGACGATCTGGAGTACACGATGAGGGACAAAATAGAGCCTATAGGGTTTAGAAGAAGAAGTTAATCACAATTTTAGGATATCACGGATTTTTGGCTGATTTGTAGGGATTATAAGTGATGCATCAAATCTTATTGTTAATTGTTAACTAGTTATATAAGTATCGATGGTTAATTTTATTTTTAAAATTATAAATATTTTTATATTATACACCTTTAAATCACTTGATTCAATGTTACATGTAAAATTTCCAATAATCCAGAAAAAAGATTACTGCATTATTTTTCATTTATAATCACCTGACCGATTTAATTTTGAATAAGGATCACATGTGTTAATTTTTCTACTTTTTTATTCATATTATTTAGTATTCATATTAGATCAACAATACATAATGAAATATAATTTTAATTATCAAATAACTTTAATTTTTATTGACATTTTATGATTTGAATTAGCAAAGTGAACATAAAGATCTTTTATCGGTAGCATTTTTTGTAAGTTTTTTTTAATATTATTAATATTTGTGGTTGTATATTCTATGTTATAATAAATATTTTTTAAGAAACCTAATTTTTAATAACTATTATTAATATTAGTCTCGGTTACTAAAATTCAGTCTTTAATAAGTTTCCCTCTAAACACAAAGATGAGATAATTTTATTAGAGACTGAAATTCAGTCCCTAATAAGTTTCCTCCAAAATTAAATTTGGTGTTAGTTTATGCAAGACTGAAATTTAGTCTCTAATTTGTTTCCTTCCCAACGGTATTTGGGACTGATCCATCAGTCTTCGATATATGATGTTCGTGACTAAATAATCGGTCTCTAATATTAAAATACAGTCTTTAATAAGTTTCCATACAAAGGAGAAATTAATGCAGTTCTATCAGAGACTGAAATTCAGTCCCTAATAAATAATGTACAAAATCAAACTAGCACAAGTTTATCCAGGACTAAAATTCAGTTTCTAATAAGTTTCCCTCCAAAGTCAAAAATTGGTACTAGTCTATCTGAGACTGAAATTCAGTCCCTGATATGTTTCACTCCAAATATAAAATGATGTAACATATTAGAGACTGAATTTCAGTCTCATATAAGCATGGTTAGTCACTAATAATCTACACATTAAAATCAGTCCCAAATAGTATATGGGACTGCCTGATAGATGGTATCTAAGACTGATTAATCAATCTCTAATATTTTAGTTACAGATGCCCATTTTTCTTGTAGTGGCTCTTCTACCATGAAATTGATTTTCTCAAAAAATTTCTCTTCCCCATCAGTGTCGTGGATAGGGGTAAAGTCTTCATATTCCTCTTCTTCAATCTCTTCTCCCTCATGAATAACTTCTTCAATTTCTTCTTCCTTATCGAAGTCATAGAAGGAACAAAAATCAGAATCATCAGAATTAGTGTCATCGAAATAATCCTCATCTTCACCTAACATGTCTTGAAAGAGTTGACCATATTTAGACAAAATCAAGAAGTATTCATCCGACCCCACAAATTTAGATCTCCTTAGCAACATTCTGAACTGTCTTCATAAAAGAAAAACTTAACAATGAAAGCAACAAACTCAGCAAGAATTTCGGATCTAACAAAAACTCTACTTTTTTTTATATCACACGAATACAAATTCAAAAGCGAAATCTTCAAACAAACTCGATAAGAATTTTTGGCTCTAGTACCACATATTATGCATGTACCTGGAGGTGGGGGATAACTTCCTTTTGGGTTTTTATGATTTTATGAACGCAAGGGATAATAAGAACAACGATAAAAAAACGATAAAAAGGATAACTTAATCGACAAGAAAACAAAAAAAGATAGATATGATAAACAATCTAAAGCTATAGATTGAGTATCGATGAAAACAAATCGAGACTTATTGATTTGAATTCGTATCAAACTAGAATAGGCGTCCTAGAATTGACAAAGGGGAGAGTAAGCAAGTCAAAGAACAAAGTTCTAAAACGTCAATTCATTGAACAATCTATACCATAATGTTCAACAATGGGGCTATTTATCGCCTTACAAATTCTTACAAAAAGGAAAGTATCAATTAAAAAGAAACTCCCTATTAAATGCTAGAAATAAAATAAAATAAAATCGTTTCTAAAATAAAGTAGAATCTGGAATATTCGATCTAGAATCTTCATTTGCAAGTTATCTAGCATTCTCATTGAACCATAGATCCCAGCAAGCAACTTTCGCATCTTAGTATCACAACATGCTTTCGATTTTCGCAACTGATTTCTGAGATTCGCATCTGGATTCCAAGAATCGCAATCGCAATTGTTCCGAAGTTGTTCACATCCAGTAGTTGCTTTCGCATTCCATAGCTTTTGCATCCAAGCCCAACAACAAATGACCCATCGGACCCAACACCAAGTAACAGCCCATCACATCGCATTCCAATAGTCTGATTCGCATTGAATCGCACCGCACGAATCACATGAGGTTCGCATCCGTTCATTAGAGATTGTGATTCATTGCGACCGTTAGCATCGGTTCGCACCCAGTCGTAACCTGGACCCTTTCGCACTCAACATCCCATTTGTAATTAGTATTATTTTCACAATCAGGACCTGGACCCGACTTGGAACTTAGGACTTGGCTCAATTCGGACTTGAATTTCATCTCGGACTATGAACTCATATCCGTATCATTAAACATGTTGATAAATATGAAACACCTTGAAGTAAAGTGTAAATAATAAATAATATGGATTTGGGAGCTCTGGTCGATGTTAAGACTTCAATAAGAATTATTATCATGGCTTCAATTTGACTTAACATGTAGATATTAGAGGAAGGTTAATTAGAAGAGCTCAAAATAGTAACTAATCTCATTTTCTTAGATTTCTTCAAAAATTAAAACTAGAACATCATAAAATTTGATCCAGATGCTCATAGTACTCCCTTTTTTAATCAACAATACAATAAGATCAAAAATAAATAAATAAGGAAATAGAATATTGGATATTAGGATCCTCACATGCTCTCTTAGATGTGGGAAGGGTCTCGATAAAACATGAGAAAATAAAGTAAAATAAATACTTTTTGGTTGGTGCCATGTTGATCAAATAAATAATGATAAAAAGAGATTAATAACATTCGTTGAAAGAATCATTTGTTGAACTGAATAAAGGTTGAAATACTAGTATTGTTGACCCAAGGGTATCGAAGAGAAGTTGTGAAAACCGTTTGGATATGCTGATATAATCTGAAACTTACAAAAACTTACAGGTTGCTGACGCGAGCCTACTAAAAGATGATCTAGAGATATCAGTCTTGGAATTTGTTCATATGAGGAATTCGAATAAGAAAATATTTAGTCTGAATTGCTGAATCAGGACCTCTTATCTGCCGATCTCTAGCTCAAGGCTGATTCGCCGACCTTGATTAAGTGGAACACAACAAAGAGTGGAATAAATTCCATATTATTGAGATCATCCATAAGTAGAAACACATGTCGAAGCGTAATATCTAAAACTTTAAAATAATATCTTACAAAAACTCTTTTTGAAGAAAAATGATAAACTACTTGATGTGTTCTTCAAAAAGATGTTTCTGATCAGTAATGAGTTATGTAAGGTAAATTAGTTTTAAAAAATGGTTAAAATAATAATGAGTATGGTTTTAATAAAAAAAAATAGGATATAAATGGTCTAGAAAAGTGGGACGTGGTTTTAGGTGGGGTATATGACGACAAAGTTTAGACTTCAATGGTGTAAATTGTAAGTTGTTATGTGAAGGTCAGAAGGTGAGAGGGTATAATACATTAGATGTGAATATTGTTGTTAGTGTTGATGATGATTTGCCTCATAACATAATTGAATTTCAAAAGCTTTTTGGAAAACTCATTTATCTTACTAATCCTAGGGTTGATATTTCTTTTACGGTTCAAACACGTAGCCAATTTATACATGCTTGTAGAAAACAACATCTTAAATTTGTTATCTGCAGGGGTGGACACAATAGGTGTCCGGGGTGGCACGGGCAACCCCTCAAATTTAATCATCAAGTGCAGAATTAAGTGTAAATTCATCAAAATCGGCACAAATCCATAACAAATCCGTCAGAAATCCATCACGAATTCATTGGAAATCTATCACAAAGTCCTAGTAAGTGTAACTTTATTGTAAATCTGTCAATGAAACCCTTTTAGTGACGAATTGGTGACAGAAACTACCGTCAAAAATGAGTTTTTTGTAACAGTGCAACACAAATATTTCTTTCTGTCCATCACTAGTTTATCCATGTTCTTCCTTATTTGAAGTTTTGTCCAGGAAAAGATGTTATGTTTCATTATAGCAATTTTTAAATCTTTCGGCTTGGGGTAATGATAACTTGGCTAAGTGTATTAACTCTAGAAGGTCAGGTACATTTTTATCTATTTAGAAGAGATTTCTTGGAAAAGTTAAAAACAAACTATTATTAAGTCTTAATATAGGGCTTTAATACCCATGACATGTCAATTTAAGTGTTAAAATTGGTGCACGATCGAATTTAAATTGTAATCTTCTTGTTGACATTTTTGTAACAGTTGATCTGCTTTCGTACTTTCCTTTAATCTATTTTTGCATGAGTGAACTAAACATATTGAAATCAACATTCATCTAGCAAGAGATAAGGTTACTTCATCTAGCAAGAGATAATGTTACTGAAGATTTAGTTAAGATTGTAAATGTTGATATTTTACCAAACCACTTGGTGTAGTTAAGCATAATTTTCTATCTAAAAATAATTAGGTTTGTATAATGCATTTTAATTTTAGGTAGAGATAAAGTGTTAGAAGTTTTTAATCTTCTAAAGCCTTCTGGTATGCTCATCACGAGAGGATTCGTGGTCTACGTGGTCACTAACCACGGATGTGAACACCATCCCAAGGTTTTAGTGGTGGCTAGTGGTGGAGCTTTCGTTGTTATATGTGGTGGGAAGAACGGAACACCACACCTAATAAACTTGCTTCTCTCTCTATTTCTCTCTATACCTCTCTACCTTTCTCCACCTCTCTCTACAATTTAATTAATTAAAAAATATATTTTTTTATTTTAATAATCAAAAAATAAAAGGGATATAGTGGTGAGTATCCCAAGCTTTTAGTGGTAGTTAGTAGTGATGATGTGGCACCCACCACTATAGTGGTTAGTGGTGGGTATAACGGATGGTCTAACCTACACTTGAATGTTAAATAAATTCACAAGCTTTTAACTTAATTTGTTTAAGTGCGGCAGTGTAAAGATACATATTGCTTAGATAAGCTCGTAGTTTTAAGCGATCTAATGTGAATGATATGTTTTGGCGATGAATTTTATGGCTTTTCGTGTGGGGATACTTTGAAGTTGCTATTTTCTTTATAGGAAAAATGGCATAAAAATTCTTATTTCAAACGATATTATTTTACCCTAAAATGACTTTTAGAAGCATTACCGTCTCCCGTAGTTCCCCCCAGAAACATCCGTTTGCCTACTTCTACTCTGGCCGGGGGTAACAGTCTTTTTGAGAACCAAGTGGCCCTTGAGGAAGACCTTCAGAAAACCCCTCTAACTCGGGGAAAGGAATTCAAGCCCATAAAATGAGTCAAGTCTGTCGTTTAGGCCGGTGAGTGAGATTTCTGCTCATTGCAGTCACCTCCGGGCTTCTTCGCACCTGGATAGTACTAGGACCCTTGATCAGATAAAGCTGCCCGCCCTATGACCCACAACTCAAAATGAGCTATATATATATATATATATATATATATATATATATATATATATATATATACATACGCATCAAGTATAAGTTTTGGAAACATGATGTCTTAGAGCATCTCTAACCCACCCCCAAACTTCATTTTTTCCCCATTCTTCTCCAACCCTACCCCATTTTCACCTCCATTTTTGGAGATATGAATAGTATTCCCCCATATATGGGGGAATACTATTTATATCTCAAAAAATGTAGGTGAAGTTTGGTTGCCAATTTTAGTCTCTTTCATTTTTATTTTATACATTTCTAGTTTATTTTATCTGCTAATTATAGTTTAAATGCAATATTTAATATTTATAATATCATGTTATATACTAATTTATATTAATTAATCATAAATATAAAGTTTAATTAGTAGAGAGGTGTATTTGACAATATATATAAGTTATAAAAATGGAATATTCTAGGAATATACTTTTTTGGGTAAAAAATGGGGTAGAAAATGGAGTAGGGTTGGAGATGAAATACTATTTACTCCATTTATGGAGGAAAAAATGGAGATGAATTGGAGATGGTGTTATGACTAAGTTTTTTATAGCTTTGCTTTATTACCCTTTTTACCTCTTATCATCACTTTCCTAGGTATCATTAAATAAAATTTGCAAAAAAAATTTTAAGTTTGTAATTCTTCTAAATTTTAACCCTAAGTTTTTTTTTTTTTTTTTTCATATTATACATCTTCATGTAGAAAAACATATTTATACACGAAAAAAATATTTAATTAAACATCGTATTTTTATTTTATAAATTTTTATTTTTTATATACATATTGTTTTTATCTATTTATATTGTTTAAAACGTAAAAAATACATTTTTAAAAGTATAAATATGTTTTTGGAAGTATAAATACATTTTTTATGTTTCTAGAAGTATAGATAAAAGTATTTTATCAGTAAAAATGCGTTTATATAAAAAAAACATATATATATATATATATATATATATATATATATATATATATATATATACACTTCAAAAAAAAGTACATATTTATACATGTTCTTAAAAGTATAGATGGACGCTTTTTAGAAGTTTATATACATTTTTAAAAGTATAAAACACATTTTAAGAAGTATAAATACGTATTTTTACCTTTTTAGTAGTACAAATACACATACTATATCGGTTGTTTGCCCTGACAAGAACCCAAACGGGGCGATGGTAAAATTGTAGGTAAAAAAAGAAAAACCACAATGAACCAAATCAAAACAACATCAGTTCAAACTATATAAGAAAAAAGATACTTGCTGCCAAATCAATCAGTGAACTAGACAAAAATTACATATAAAAGGAATCTTGATACATGATTTGTGTTTGTTTTCCAAGACCAAAACTTGACATGGTAGCTGCTGATGGGTTTTCATTTAAAAGTGGAGAGCCTCGGAAGTTTGTCTCGCAGATAGTACAACCTTGCTCTTCGGACTTTCCGATGCTTCACCACTTTTATTTCTTTGATGTTCGGAGAGTATCTGTACACACACACACACATCAGATAGACTTGTTGGAATTGCTGGAGACAAAACTTAATCCAGTAAAGTCCATATATCAATGTTTTCTTTTCAATTGATGCCAAAAAGAAATAAGGGAAAAACAGGGAAACGAGGCTTTTTGCCCTTATTTACATTTTCCTTCCATTTTATAAGTGTGTCTGCCAGGCTGCCATCATTTATCCAAACAACACTTGATGGGAAGAAAAAAAAACACATGGTGGTTATATTGATTATGAATGATTCTGCATATTCTTTTCATAGAACCCCCCTAAAACCATATCTCCCTTCGTCAACCACACGAAAACAACAACTTAAATAAGAAAAGCAAGGGAAGAAATTTTTCCCATTAAGTCCTAAGTTTTACAAATTTGACATCGTTTATTTTTTCCTTCCATTTGCTGTCATTTTCTTCTATGCTTTATAAAATTATTATCCTGGCAGAACTTTATCTATAAACATTTAATGGAATAAAAAAAACAAGGCATTGGCATGATGGCATCATCTAACAATATTCATTATGATTTATTTGAAGCAACACATCCCTACTTGGGATGGAGGGGGATAATGGGTTGTTTCTTTTTGACTTAATGGGACCAACTAATCTGATGATAGAGAAAGAAGGTTTGCCATTATGTCAAAGTTTTTCAGCATTATTTATGTACGAGGATATGATATGTGTGGAACAACTTACATGGGGAAGACAATCTCAACTCCAACTCCAGCAATGATCCTGCGGATGCGAATTGTGGTGTGAATGCCAGCGTTTTGCCTTGAGATTATTATGCCTTTGTAAACAGACAACCTACGCCTGTTCTCGGGCACTTCCTACAAAAAGTTAAATCCAAATCATCAAAACATTTAGGCCGACAAAATTTTTCCTCCAAAATATTTAAAACAAGACTCATACATACTGATACTATTTAGATTTTAGATTTTAGGACAACTTACCAATTTAATTTCAATAATATCTCCAGTTCGAAGGTCTGGCACTGGCCTTGAGCTTTCTGAAGCTTCAACTGCTTGCTTGTTCAGAATCTAACATCACAAAACCAAAATCAAAGAGGTATTAACCGCCCGATGAAATATTTCTATATGTCGATAAAATATTATGATATTTTTAAACATAAAGGCCACATGGTCATTTAAATATTTCCAATTTTCATATTCATTATTTATTGTCAGAGATTGTGTCACACCAGAAAACCCCTTGAACCCGGCCGGTTAAGGTGGTTTTTTCAAAGAAAAAAAATTCAAAGTTTTGGTGGTGACAATAATTCTTTTAGTGGTTGGTTAAACCAAGATGCAAAACTATACTTGTTTTTATACAATTCTACGTTTTGTAGTTAAACAAAGTTACCGGAAATATTGTATACCCGGTTAAGGGGATTGCGATTGTTTAACAAAAATCAACCAATGTCTTAAATCTCAAAAATCAAGGAACAAAAACCATTATTCTTAGGTGGTTGAACCTAAAAAAAAAATACATTGGTTTTGGTGGAATTGGCTGATATTCAAACAATTCTTAATTTTCACAAATATATGAACAGATACAGGAGTGCAATTGAACTACCACGCAGAAAGAACATCAAAATACACTATCGAATTCACAAAGAAAGGGGACCGATCTTGAAGGTTAATGTAACTATCAAAATCATTTTAAACCAGTTTCAAGGTTCAAATTTACACCTATCGGCATAAAAAAAGTCAAATGCATCTTGGTATGAAATTATGAACCCAAAACTCACAGAGAAACCATAGATAAACGAAGGATTTGATGAACATTCAACAACGTACCCCCATAATGTCGCCAAGCTTTACAATAGCTTTCTTAGGTTTTTTTTCTTCTACTTCTTCCTCGTCTTCCTTCTCCGTAGTTTCTGCTGCAACAGTCTTCGTCTCGGGCTCTGGGTCAGCATCAGCACCAGCATCAGCCCCAGCTCTAACCACCAAAGAATCCCCACAACGAAATCCATAATTATGACGACAACGATATGAAGAAACCGTGGATATAGACACAGAAGCTGCGTTGAATTGGGGAAGAAAGGAGGAAACCCTAAGTTTCTTCGATTCAAATTTTGCTACATCCGTGGGTATCATATATAGCGCCTAAAAATTTAGTTTTCAGCTAAAGAAATTAATGAACTGGGAGGAGATAAATGCAGGAAAGATAGAAATATGAAATGAAAGTGGACTTACCTGAGAAAGAACGATGGAAGCCATGACTGAAATTTGAGAGCTCGAGTGAGCAAGCGCTTGCAGCGTCTTATCCGAACTGCAGCATAAGATGATGATTTGCGATGTTATATGGATCGAGGTTCGGGTTAGATCCGAAATACATTGCATTTTTTTTATTTTTTATAGGATTATAAGAAGGTGCTTTAGAAATCTTTTAAAATGACTTTTAGAATTTTTAGGCCCAGTTTGATAGATGCTGACTGAGAAAGTGCTGATTGGGAAATGTCTGTCTGGGTAAAACCTGCTGACTGAGTAAGAAATCATATTGTTTGATTGTACATTTGACTGAATGTGTTAACTGATGAAAAATGATCATTTTACCCTGTTGCTGTATATAGCGATGGATGAAATTGCTAAATAATTATAAAACATACATATTGACATACAAAATGTAAATTACACACAAGTTATTTAAAAATCCAAATAAAAATTGTCATACAAAATGTAAATTAAACATAAATCATTTAATATCCAAATAAAAACATAATGAAATTTAAAATAACATAATAATTTAATGTAAAGTAGGTGAAAGTAGTTGATTTGCAATCTGATCACGCAAAACACGCATATATTGAATGGCTTCTGGACCCCATTCTATGTCTTCTATGTTTTCTCTATCAATTCCCCCACCTTGGACGTCAGGAGTAACCATAGTGTTCTCCTCAAAATTTGTAAACAAGTCATCTTCTATATTGTATTTCCTTATAAAATTATGGACCGCAACACAAGCGATGACTATGTCTCTTTGCACTGTAAAAGGATAAGGAGTCATTTGTTTTAAGATTGGGAATCTCGCATTCAATACACCATAAGCACGCTCAATAACATTTCTAAGTTGGGCATGAGAATAATTGAACCTTTCTTCTCTAGTTAAAGGTCTGCCTCTTCGAAAATCAGCTAACCAATACCTAGTATTGCGGTATGGAGCCATAAACCCACGAGTGTTTGTATATGCAGCATCACAAAAGTAATATTTATCTGTAAATGAGCGTGACACATATTATATAAAGAAGATAGATAATAAAAGTTATATAAAGATTACAAACCTGGTGGAGGAAATGGAAATCCAGAAGTCGGATTGAATGCAACTTCTTTCAAAACTCTTGAATCATGTGCTATACCCTCCCATCCAACCCAAACAAAGGTGAATATCATATCAAAATCACAAATTCCTATTACATTTTGAAAACATTCTCATTTTCCTCTTCCCCTATAACGAGTTTGTTGATCAACGGGTACAACCGCATGTACAAGAGTTCCATCTAATGCACCTATTGCTCCGGAAAAAAAATCACTTTTAACCGTCTATGTCGTCCCGAGTTATGTCTTGTTGGATTAGGAGTTGTTGGTACTATAATTTCTTTTGCAAAACACATCATTGCAGTTAGGACCTCGTGAAAACATTGATGAATCGTTTGTGTGGAGTGATGAAATCTTCCATTAACCGCGCGAAAACGTTCATTATGTCCTATAACATGTAAGAACATAGCCATCTTCTCTTCAATGCTTATTGTCCTACTAGCTTGCAACCAATTTTTTTGGGTAAATTGGTTGCATAATAATGTAAATGCCTCTTGTGTAAGACGCATCATATCGAAACATTGTGTAGGGTCTCCGTACATCAAATCTTGCGTATACGCATACCCTCTTGAATCGTTATCTCTAATTCTATGAATTCTGATTAGTCTGCGCCGGTTTGACCTCAACCAATAAAACACAAGTAAAAGAAAAGCTACAACTTCACCATCAGAAACCATACTTGACCTGTTACAAACAATTAGGTACCATGTTAAAGTAAAAAAAACATCGTGCACCAAAAAAACTAGTAAACATCATCCAATGTAACAAAAAGTCATATAACAAAAAGTCATATTCAATATCCAATAACATATCAACCAAAGTAACAAAAGTCATATAACAAAAAACTAGTAAACATCATCCAAATTAACATCCAAAAAAGTCATCAAACATAGCATCCAAAAGTCATGCAAATAACAAAAAGTCATGCAACCAAAAACTAGTAAACATCATCAAAGGTAACCATACTTCCTACCCATCACCCACGACTCACAACTAGTATGCGAAAGTCGTAACCAAACTTTCCTAACATCTGGACTTTCACCAAATAGCAAAAGAGCGGTCTTGTGTCTTTCATCTTCTTCTCCCCATTCCATTTTGTTCAATTTTTCCATACACGCATCAACATCCTTATCCATTTCACTTTTTTTCCATTCTTTCATTTTTTTTCCACTAACGACCTTGCAAGCTTGACAATCTCCTCCTCAACTTCTAATGCCCTTGCATCTCTTTTTTTTCCACCAAACTCTTTTTTTCCACCAACTTCCTTATTTTTTGAACGCCCCGAAGATTCTTCACTTGCACCTACATGTTGTATTGAGGTTTCCATTGGAACATCATCATCAAAATCATGGGCACTAAAATCTTCTACAGGACGAGGGAGTGTAGAAGATGGCCCCCAACTTTGAAAGCCCGTTGAGGTCGAGCCTTCAAATAGTTGGGTGCAAAGATCAGGGAACAGCAGGGGTTTACTTTTCAATGACAACACGAACTTGTTCAACTGTTTACAATTTTTATAAATATTAGTATTTGTTATAAAAATAATCATACTAGTATTTGTTATAAAAAGTATTACCTTCCCCTCTTATTTCCATTGTTCATCGGTCAGATTAAATTTATTTTTTATGGGATCATATATATTACCAATTTTGTTTTTCAGTTTCACCTAAGCAACATATTTTGATTTGTAGTAGTCAAAGTGGTTTCTCATTTGCTTCTGATCAACCTCTTTACCATGTTCGTATATCAATTTTTCGCGTATTGTCTTCCATGAACTTGTCTTAAGCCCAGAACCCTCACGACCATTAGTGTTTAGTTCATGGATACATGCATCAAGGAACGTTTTGTCCTCACTCTCGTTCCAAACCAACATCCTAAAACATTAATATTTAAAGTAATTTATCATAGTTTTTATCAAGATCAAGAATAATTTTAAACATAAAGCAATTTTCAACCAAGGAAGTTAACATCATCCTAAATAATAATAACACAATTAAAGTCAAAAAAAGAAATTATGATTTGATAACTTATACACAAACAATTTCAGATTTCATAAAACATCAATATTCAAGCTAACAATTTCACAAAAGATAACAAGCTAACAATTAAGGTCAACATATCAACATATACTTAAACAATTTCATAACATTTGGATTTTGATTTTGATTGCATAATACAACAAACATAATTTCTGATTTTATAGCTTATAAACAAAAAAGAACTTCAAATTTCATATCTTGTACACAAAGAACTTCAATTTTCAGTTCTTATACACAAAGAACTACAAAAAAAAACAAAAAAAACAACTTCCAATTCACATTCAATTTCAGAATTTATAACATTAGAACAAAAAACTTCAATTTTCAGTTCTTGTATACAAAGAACTACAAAAAAGAACATAAAAAAACTTCCAATTCACATATAATTTCGAAATTCATCATATTAGAACAAAGAATTTCAAATTTCAGTTCTTGTACACAAAGAACTACAAAAAAGAACAAAAAAGAAATACTTCCAATTCACATACAGTTTCACAATTCATGATATTCTAACAAAATAGTATTTTGATTTCATAAAGAACTTCAAATTTCATACCATCAAAGCATAAATAGTATCTGATTTTGAAAATTATTAACAGAAAAGTTAGAATAATATCATACCAGTGTGATGGAGTCAAGAAGGGCAGAAGGCGTCACCGATTGACGAGAACACTGGCGGTGGAGGAGGTCAGACTGGCGACCTTGGTTTGGCATTCGCTGGGAGTTCTTCCTGTATAGCGGCTGCTGTGCTTTTAGGTCACCGGAAAGGGAACGCGAATGAGCGAAGAAAGAATAAAGACGGAGGGGTAGGATGGTCTAATTTCCAGTCAGCGATTGTTAAGAAACTGAGCGAGAAAGCAATTTGGGTCAGCTAATCTTACCGAGAAAGCACAAATCAAACACTTAGAGTCTGACCGAGTCAGCTTTTCCAAAAAGTTAAAAGTTAAAAAAGATGTTTGGGCATTTCAAGAAGTTCTTTTAAAACAACTTTTTGGCAAGAACAAAAATAAGCTTTTGAAAAGTCATGAATTTGTGACTTTTTGCAACTTTTGGGTTTTTAACTTTTGAAAATTCAAAAGACGAACCAAACACATTTTTAAAACTATCTTTTATGAAAAGCCAAAAAATCAAAAATGATTTTTGTCAAAAGAACTTTTTAGCATGAAAAGCAATCCCTAAAACAAACTATTTGAACTAAAAAAACCCAATTTTTTTATGTAGGAGGAATAATGAATTAAGTGTTTGGGAGTACTTTCTAAAATAATTTATTAATTTATTTGTTTTTTTAAAAGACGATAAGTTAAAAGAGTATTTATAAAGACGAACTTTTTAGAAAAACACGATCTTTTTCACTGTTTTTTTTCATAAAAATTTTCAAAGGCACCTCCAAACACATCTTAATTTAACTTTATATTATAAGTTGGGTTATTGACATAGAAGCACAATGATGTTTTCCGTTTGGTTTTAAAAGGTCCTTCAACTAATTTTCGTACCTCTGACCCCACTAAAGTAACAAATTACCTGTCAAATTAAGGTTTTCTCCATTTTTTTCCCGGTTACTCGGTTGATCAACGAAAGTCAAATGTGATGTGGCCTGTGATATCCAGATGGTGTCCAGTCAGCTTACTATATTACCTTCGTAAGGGTTCAATAGAACAACATTCACTATTTCCTTACCCTCCGGCGAACACCAACCCTTTCGACCATGTCTTCCTCCTCCGAATCCTATAACACCGTCGCCATTTAATGGATTGAAGTGAATCCTCCCTGCTTGTGCTGCGATCAGCCTGTGTCAAAGCTCAGAGAAGCTTGGAAGCCTAACAACCCAGCTCGTCACTTCTACAGTTGTGCAAAATCAATGGTAAGCCTTCGTTACAATCGATAAGTTTTAAACCTAAATTTTTGATTTTTGTACTGCAAACCCCTTATTTTGATCGACAAAAAACCCCCATTTACAACGAGAAAACCCCAAATTTTGAACAGTAAAACCCTTAATCTGTTGTGTGGCTTTTTTTGCAGATATCCAACGACTGTTGCAACTTCTTCCAGTGGCTTGACCCAGCATTACCAAAACACTACAAGGATACATTATGGAACATGAAACTTAGGATCGATGACCTTTTGGTTAGAAATGGTCAAGTTGTTGAGCTGTAGAAGAAGGTGGAGAAGCACAAGCTGCTTAGGAAAGTTGGGAAGGAACTTGCTGAAGCTAGGATCAAAGAACTACTCATTGAGATTGAAAGGTTGAAGAAGATGTTAAAAAAAGGTTGTTTTGATTGCTCTGGTGTGCTTGTTGTTTGTGGCCATGTACTTTAAGCTGTAGTTGTGTGATGTAAGATGTTGGGTCATGGTGTATAGGTGCTTTTTGGAACAGGGTGGATATGGGGATGGTCTTTCGGGATGGTCTTTGGGATGATTAGATATTTGGAAATCAAGTTAAAGCTCTTGTAAGTGATGCAGGGTATATAGTGTTGTTTGATGGTGTAATGGTGGTATATGAAATGTTGATGCTTTTGACAATTTAGTATAGGCAATGTACTTTAGCCCCATTAAGTATGGTCATGTAACACCTTTTGTATAGGCTAATTTTATAATAGAAAGCATGGATTCTATTCTATTTTAACTGCTCTTTATGGTTTCCTTGATAGTATACTACATGAATTGTTATAGTGCATGAGTTGTTATATGGTCCCCAAAGAATGCAATTTATATAGTCCATTAATTATATAATATCATGCATGAGTTGTTATATGGTCCACAAACAAATTCCAATAAATAGCATGGTCCACATAACAATTCCAGGAGGGACAAGAAACAAGGGACCATCTAATGCATAAAAAAGACACAAAGGACATTGGATCCCACAAGATAATATATTAATAACCAAAGTGAGTGCCATACATTACATAACAATTCCGACATAGAATATTTAAAAGCAAACATCCTAACATGTTTTTACTACATAATAAAAGAAACATCCCATGCAGTTCTCATGCAAAAACTACATTAAGTTGACAGGTTTTTCTGAAGTGTTACCCTCTCCATCCTTTCCTATAACTTGGGTTCCCAATATTTTCTTGATGATCCTTTCACTCTTTTTCCTCCTCTTAAACTGGGGAATTACAACATTACCCTTCTCCCTTGTCACTTGTGTAGTCCCACTCTCCCTAGTACATTGTGTATCCCCACATTCCATTTCTGTCCTACTTCCACTTGCCTCATCTACAGTCATTTTCTTCACATTTTCACCCTATTAAATGAAACATAATTAATAACAAATAAAAAAAAATTAATAAATAAGAGTTTGTATATACCTTTGTTGTCTTAGTCCTCTTAAACCTACTAGCATGTGTATCCCCGCCATCCATTCCTGTCCTACTACCACTTGCCACTTCTGCAGCCCTTTTCTTCACATGTTCACCCTTTTAAATGAAACATACTTAATAACAAATAAAAATATTAATAAATAAGAATTTTTATTTACCTTTGGTACCTTAGTCATGTTAACCCTAGTTGGTAACTTATTTGGTCTTGACCTATCAACATTTGGACATGTCTTCTTATTATGTCCTTCCACTTTGCACAAACTACATGATATCTTCTTACCCTTCTTAGAAACTCTATGCTTTCCACCCTTTTCACTCACATCTCTAACTCTTTTAGTTTTTGGCCTACCAGGCATCCTTCTATTCTTGGGGGGTAAAGGTGGAATGTAATTAGTTTCAGGCCACATCTTGCTTCCATTCATTGGACAAATTTTGTACTGGTAGGTCTTCATATACATTGCTCTACAAAAATAAGGATCCATATATTTCTCCACATCTTTATTGAGGTAGCTAATGGAAGCCACAAAATGAACACACCCATAACCATTAAGTTGCCACATCCTGCATGAACATGTCCTCTTGTCTAAATCAACATCATATGCCTCACTTCCTGACCTAGTCTCAAACTAGTTGAGTCCACTTGGAAATACCTCCCAAAACCTTTGATTAATCTTTAACTCATTCAAACTCAGCCTTTTTTCAGGTGAAACATCACTTGACCATATATTAACTTTTACAGTGAACAGCTTGTTCATCATATACATTCTCAATTCTTTAAGCATTGTAGGTTTCTTCCTGGCTTCAACTATGACTACATTGAAACTTTCACATCCTCTATTCTCCACACTAGAACAACATCTACCAACTTGATAGTAAGCTCTTGACCATGTTCTAGGGTCATTCTCTATCAAGTAGTTACTTGTCTCTGGACTCATAAGCTCAATATCCTTCATTATTTCCTTGAAAGATTGTTCTGTTGTTGCATTACATGCAGACCAAAACTTGTTAACAAACTGTGCCCCTGGAAACTTTTTACTGAAGTTGGCCACAATGTGCCTTGTACATTGCCTATGCTCAGCTTGTGGTAACAAATCCTTGACAGCTTCCATAAGACCCTATACCAACATACAAGTAGTTAGAAATGAATTGGGTAATATACTTTGTGAAAGAGAAATAATAAAATGTTTTGCTTACTTTGTGTTGGATTGACATAAGAGTTAAACCTTGTCCCATACCAAGATTGAGATCATCACTTAACAATGACATAAACCATTTCCAGTTTTCCTTGTTTTCAACACATACCACTGCCCAGGCAATTGGGTATATTTGGTCCCTAGTATCTCTCCCCGCAACACAAAGCAACTCACCAATAACATATGTTGGATTAGTGTCTAAGTCCAAAACTATAATTGGTAAGTACTTGACCCGACCCGGCATGGTCCATTTGGGTTGCACTTCACCGAAACAATTTGTATGGATAGACTAATGAGAAAAGGATATTTATGATTTATTAATATATTATAAGTTCTAATATATTAATATGAAATCATATTATTTAATTAGTATTGATCAAGAATTAATATGGAATTAATTTAGTGATCAAAAGAGACTAGTTAAATATGGACTCGTATAGTATGGGCTAATGTTATTTAGGATGGGCTAAGCCTACATGGAATTCCATGGATAGTCCATGGAGCTTTTAACCCATGGATCCTAACTAATGTGGAAAGTCATGGGTATTAGGGTTTACCCTAATCATGCATACTATATAAAGGAGTCCTTGGCTCATAAAATTGGTGCTAGGGTGTGTAATAAGAAAGAGAGCCGATTTTGTGAGCATCCATACTTTCTCTCAAGTCTTCCAATTTGTTGGTGGTGATTTGTGATTCCACTTGAGGCATTCACACTATTGGTGCTAGGCTCTTAAAGCTCCAAGTAATCAACTACAAGAAAAAGGTATGGATTCTATCTAGTTTTGTTATGCAAATACATATGATCATATGCTAGTTAGGGTAATATATTGGAAACTTCAAGTTTGCATGTATAACAGAGAAAACATAGATCCAAGGTATTTAGGGTTGCATGAACACCTTAGGAGTGTTAGAATGCTCAAAACCCATCAACATACCCTTTCAAGAAGCAACCATCAATTCCAATCACCTTCCTGCACCCTTCTAACCACCCCTTCTTTACACCATCAAAACAAACATAAAACTTACTAAAGTGATTAGTTCCATCTAGCATTGTAAGAACATCCATGCTGACTGTTGAACCAGGGTTGGATCTTCTAATTTCCTCTCCATAAGACCAGAGCTTAACATAATGCTCAATAAGGGTACCTTCAATAATATTCATAGCATACTGTTTGGCCCTTCTGCATTGGCTAATACTGACTTCAATACCAAATTTCTTGATGACCTCCAATCTTAGTTTCCTAATTGTCAGTTTCTGTCTATGCAAAATCTCTTTGGTGTAGTGGCTATCAATCCATCTGTAATTGACAATTGAACCCAATTTGTAGTTCCTAGCACATTGATGCTCACTTTTTAAAGATTTGATTTGAAAACTGTGTTTTGTACTCATCCAACTTGCCCATAGCCTGAAAGTACAAGCACCTTTACAACAAAATACTAGAAGCCTCTTACTGTCATTCTTTTCGAACCATAGTTGATAGCCATTTTTAACAGCATAATTACATAACATGCTCTTAAGTTGTTTTGGATCCTCAAATCTCATGCCTAAAATTGGTTCTTGCTTCTTCCAGTATACATGAGGATTAAAGATAGGATGTTCCTCAAGTACATCATTGTCTAATTCCTCACTATTATCTATATCTTCAATATTTTTCTCTTCTCCACCTTCTGGGCATAACTTGTTAAGAAACTCATCGTCCTTAGTCTTGTTTAGCGGGGTACAATATTCCCCATTGATTTCATCTTCCAAACCAGCATCAAACATATAGGTTGGTTCAGGATCGGGGATTCCTTGTGCAGTTTCTTTGTCATCCCCCTGGATCACTTAATGTGACATCCCCAAATTCACAGCCAGAAAAGACCGGTTTAATTTATGCTTTTAAAATAATTTCAGAGTAATCCTTTGATTAAAAGAGTTGCGGAATTTGTTCCCAAAACGAAATATGATAAAATAAGATTTACCAAGGCATTTCTTAAAGAAATGTATTTTCATTATATAACAAAACTCGGGATGTCATGTTCCGATACAGACCAAAAGCATAAACGGCACATTATAAGCCTTACAACATTTATATACACTACAGGCCTATAATCAAAATATCTTGATAAGTCGTTCAACTTATGCTCTCGCGCCACTACCTGTAATACAAAGAAAACTGAGTGGGTTAGGCTTGGGAGCCTGGTGAGTATATAGGGTTTTCAACCCACAATAAATAAATTTATTAATTTCATCAAACAACAATAACCTGATTACCCATTCCCGTTATCCTGACTTTACGTCCCTAAAAACAACTATCACAAGGGACCTAGTCTAAGGATTTTCATCGGGGCGACAACACTGCTTTGGGGGTTTCCTAGCAATTTATGTCAAATAAGACAACCATGTGGGGGATGGAGTACAGCAAATGAACACCCAAGCTCATTAACACCTACAGGTTGCAAGCCTGCCAGCGTTCCACAAGAGTATCTAGAAAAGTCCGTGGTCGTCATCCATACTCCGCTAGATGACCGGATCACAATAACATCGAGGTCTATCATCATTTTATTTCATCACACATCAACTATCTATCCATGTTTTACCCAACATATTTGTAGATAAAAATACATATACAGTTAAGTTTATTTAAAAACCTGTATAAATCATTCATTCATCATCCATCTCAAATAAATAAACAATATATATTCACATAGCACGTATTATATAAAATACTTCATATCTATGTGTAAGATGAAAGTGACTATACACTCACTTGATTTAACGATAATCGGACAGCACTTCGTTTCCTAAAACGATCGTTTTTTATGAAACCGGGAGCTTTAATAAAAAAAAAGGGCTCTGCGAGGGTTGGGCTTCAAAACCGAAAAGATAAAATTTTCTGGGTCTTCGGGCACTTCGGGGCGTGTTTCGGGTGTTGGAAATGATCTCGGGGCTTCGGGGGAAGTCGAAATAGTGAAAATATGAGTTTAGGGGTAAAAAGTGGCAAAAATCCAAACTTACCCGGAAAGTCTCGCAGCCTCCCTTTTATAGGGTGCGACTTCGGATCTGAGGGTTGAGAAGCGAACACGTGGCAGCAAATGCGAGGGGCTCCAGATGGCTTGCATGCGAGGGAGGCAGGTGGCTCGTGCGAGGCTCAGACACGTGGTGATGCGAGACCGAGACACGGAGAAGGCACGAGGCGGCTTCTGATTGGCCGAGCCTTCGGTGCGAGGAGGGTGCGACATGCGTAGACAGGTGGCCTCGGATGACTCAACAAATCGGACATGCCGCATGATGCGAGCGAAGGTGACGTGGTCGATCCGGATAAGGCTTATCCATGCGAAAATTCTCGAAAATTATGCCAAAATCTTCTAAAATTCATAACTTTTGCATACGAGCTCCGTTTTTGACGTTCTTTATATACACGCGTAGGGAAACTTATGCTCTACAACTTTCGTTTAGACTTCGTTGGCTAATTTTGAATTTATTTTTAATATTATTATTTTTAACAGACCGAGACAAGAAAATCCGTTAAAAATTCATAACTTCTTAATCCGACGTCCGTTTTAGTCTGTCTTTTTACCGTTGTACTACTATTGATGAGACCTACGATTGTCGTTTAGATTGTGTTGGCTAAAAATCACTCGATCTAAAATTCGAGTTTTTAGGTGTTAACTGCTAAGCTGAAACTTAGAAAAATCATAACTTCCTCATACGAAGTCAGATTTGGGCGTTCTTTTTACGCATACACTTGGTTTAACGAATACTACGACTTTTATTTAGATCACCAAGGCTAAAAAGTAGCTTATCAAAAACTCACTTTTTACGTCACACAGCGTCGTGCCGGTTCTGTCGCAAAACTTCGACAGGTCATAACTTCTTCGTTATAACTCGGATTTCGGTATTCTTTATATATCCGGAATCCTTGTCATGACCACTACAACTTTCTTAATAGATATCGGCTTTATCTAATATATTTTTTCGACGCTTATTTTTATTCTTAATT